GATACTTTTAACAAACCACGTATACGTAATATTTATATACAGATATACCGACACACATGCATATATACATAAATATATATATTCAAATACACCTATTAGAAATACGTCCAAATTACCAGAATTTGATGTATTTTATGGCCAGCATGACTTCTACTAAAAAGCGCTCAGAAAGTAAAAGTAATAGTATTATTTTCTCCCAAAAAGAGTCCAAAAAGAAACGTGAGCCAGAATATTCAATGAATTAATAAATGTTCAATGGATTTAGCTCACAGACCGACTCTAGAGTTTCGCTTTCATCTATAAATATGTGTATAAATTCATTTAAAAATGAATTTGTGAATTTTAAAAAAAATCTTACTACCTTTTTAACTCAATTCTAGCGTAGCAAGAATTTCAAAGATTGAAATTTAAGATTTGTATTTAACTAAATTCGAATTTGATAATAATTTCGATAGATTTATCAAATATCTGAGGATGAAATGTCGATCTAAAAACTACTGTACTTATTTAGAGGGAAAATAACATACACGAAAAATTATTTAAAATGCAAAAATTGAGTCTTGCCAGAATATTACATTAAGTCCTGGATTTTTTTCAAATATATCCTTTCATAAAAGAAATATCTTTTTCTCAAGCCGACATATTTGTATTTGATAATAAAAATTAAATCAAAAATAAAGAAAACGGTTAACACATGCCTTTTAAAATAAATCATTAGAATGAAATAAAAATACTTAAACATATAAATAATTACATAAAAATCAATAGCAACACCATTAATTTACTTTTGTTTAATGTTCGTTACTCTATAGTTTACCTTTCCTTTCACACAATGAGCTTATTATTTTAGAGCGTTGTCTAATTCAGTAACATCTATGATTTGTGTTATTTTTTCCACGTTACATCTGTGTTTAAATACAGATTATTAAATCATGTTTCTAAATTTTTCCTCATAAAGTTTTTTTTAATTTTTTTTTAGAATAAAACGCTTTGGCATGAAATTTTTCCTCTTGTTTTTTCTTAATATGGTTTTCACAGATACATTTTACTTATAATTGAATATTTACACACACAAACACACACACACACACACACATATATATATATATATATATATATATATATATTTGGTGAGAGTAGTCGTGGTTCCCGGGGGCACAGTCCTATGGTCACAGAGAACTCAGTTGAGTTCCTCCACGGAATATGTGAGCGAGCGGCGCTTAGTTGAGTCTGATTTGGAATCTCTTCGTCACAGTTGGTATGCTGTTCGCTTGACAACCCAAATGTCAGGGTTCGATACTCGGTAGTGAATGCGCACTGCTGATGAGTCCCAAATATAGGACGAAACGGCAGTCCAGTGCTTCCTGCATTCTGTAGAGGTTTCTATCAGACTCGATGAATTATATATTATATATATATATATATATATATATATATATATATATATATATATATATATATATATATATATATATATATATATATATATATATATATATATATATATATATGATTAAATAGACGATGGTAGACGATATTTGCGGGTTAAAGTGCTGAATATCAGAGCTAGAGCGTATGTAAATATAAAAGTAGATACTGATGCCAACACCCAGCGGCGACAGTCTGTTTCAGGCTTAGAAGCAATGGTTAGGCAATTCTCTCCCCCACCCCCAGCCCCAGTGGAATAGTGGATAGCGACTTGGATTGAGGAATCGGAAAGCCGAGTTCGAATTCCAGTCGAATCCATTGGATTCAGTTACGTCCTAATACTCTTGGGAAAGGTATTAATCCTCTTCTTCTCCCTCCAGCGATGAGTAAATAGCAGAACAGACTGGGTTCTATAGCCTTGGATGGCAACTAGTCTAGAAGGACAACTCTGAATTTAAAACCTGTGGAGGGTTTTTCCGTGGCGCCCCAGGTCTCTGTTTCGGCCGTTTAAAAAGTATGGTTGGTTCAGCACAAAGCCTTTACCACTATAATCCAATCATGTGCTGTATAGAGTTAGTTAGCCGAGTGGTTACAACGTTCGCATTGCGACCACGCGACCTGGGTTCGAATCTCATCATGGTCAGCTTTTTAGGAAGGGGATTTCCTTTTGTTATCAGACTGGAGGATCGTTCGCAGCGTGCGCCACCTTTGGAAATTGCCAAGCCTGGTGAGAGAAACTGGGTAGAGGGATCCCTTGGGGGCCGTCGATAGCTGTGAGAGCACGAAGTCATAAGTCATCGGGACTGAGGGCCTGAGCGTGCTGGCCTTGTTCAGATTGTTGATCACGCTAGATAACACGCCTTTTCCCAGAAACTGTAACTAAGGTCTGCTCAGCATAGTTGCAGTATAAACCACAGATGCGCTCTGTGGGTGTTGAATAAACACAAATGCTCCTGAGCAAGCATCAGCAACAGGGATTGGCTAGCCACCCTAGTAGACGGGTATCCTTGAATACGAGTGGCAAGCTGTACATACACAGAGTTAGATAAATCAAACGACCAGATATGAGCAACCGTATAAGTGCGTGTTGGCGCGCATAGACAGGCAAGCAAATAAATAATGATCAAATGTATTCGTGAGGTGTAAACATAGAAGTGTTCGACGTGGTCAGACCGAGTAAAGATATATATTAATAAATATACATATACATATACCTACGTATATATATTATAAAGAATACAAGTCACCTAGTTCTCTCGCTGTCTGTCTGTCTGTATCTCTCTCTCTCTCTCTCTCTCTCTATATATATATATATATATATATATATATATATATATATATATATATATATATATATATATATATATATATATATATATATATATGTGAAAAGTGTGTGTATATAAATATAAATAAATATATATATGTATAATTGTCTGACGATATCTAAAGCGTGAAACCCAGGGTCACAAACTCACATCTATCAACCAAATATATATACATATATATATATATATATATATATATATATATGTGTGTGTGTGTGTGTATGTATATATATATATATATATATATATATATATATATATATATATATATATATAGAGAGAAGAATATATATATATATAAAAATATATATATATATATATATATATATATATATATATATATATATATATATATATATATATATATATAGAGAGAGAGAGAGAGAGAGAGAGAGAGAGAAATAGGTTGTCTGAATTATTTATAGGTGATGAACTGATTGTTCCAAGTGAAGGGTTAAAGTGACCAACAATACATTTGATATGTAATTGTAGCCATAAAATTCTTTTCAAAACAATTAGATTTCGGCATTAAATAACCCATAGAGATGTTGATATGCCGCTAAACAAAATCAACCAACCAAACATCCAACATAAAAGAACTCTTTCATGACATTAATCCATACAATATTCCACAATTTCTTAAAAAAATCAATCTCTATTCCAAAATATAACTTCAACAAAACTACAACATTAAACACATATACCACCGCCTCTAGTAATCATGCCTTCACAAATATATATATGTATAAAAGCAAAGTATCATCTACCATGTATTCAATTGTGAGGGCAGAATAATATCTATTATATATTTATTACTTCAAAACTCAAAGAAAAATTAAATTTCGGTATTAAATGAACCATAAGGTGTTGATATGCTTTTAAAAATCATAAAGTCTTGTTACCATGAAAGTATTTATAGAAAAAGCACATGGAAGGTATATAACAGCAGTGTGAAAGTGACTGTCGAGATGCCAGGTCAAGACCTATAAAATTACAGATTCTTCTTTGATTTTAATCAAGGCTCTCTAAATATATAGTTAGAGAACCAAACCAGATGTGGCAGCAATATTCAAAATAAAATTGGTTAGACTATGTCGAAGAACGGTTTCCAAGAGCTGGGCAGAATATGGCGAGGCAGGAGGATTTCTTTGGTAACAAATAAAAGAATATTGGGCTGTTACGTGACATCTGCCCTCCTCAAAGATGAAGAAGAGAGAATCGAGGCGACGGAGATGTGGTCCTACAGAAGGATGCTGAGGATATCATGGACCAAGCGTGTGAGCAACGATGAGGACTTGTAGAAGAAGCAAACAAGAAGGTGTCTTATATTTAACATCAGAAAGAGGCAGCTGAAGTTTCTGGGACACGTAAAGAGGAAGGAAAGCCTGGAAAATCTGATACTCACAGGTCGAATAGAAGGAAGGTTTGACAAGGGAATGCAACGCATGACATACCTGACGAGCTAGAGCTGGTGGATGACAGAACCTGGTCTAGGGAAGGGGGTGGCAGAAGGACGTAACTTATTGAGAGCCACAAGGGATAAGGGGAAGTGGGGAGCGATGATCACCCACGTCCTAAAAGGACACGGCATATAAAAAGAAGATATACCCAAACGAATTCTGAAAAAGATTTGAATTAAAAGTTTAACATTTCAGCTTCTACACCTCTTCATTTGTGCATTTTTTTAAGCATTACCCCCCGAGCAAGGCGTGAAGCCACTAGGATGCAGGGGGTTGCAGAAGATTTGGAGCAAGAGCAGATAGGAGTGATAGAAGAAAGGATGAGGAGAGGGATAGTGGATAGATCAAGGTAACTGGAGATGTCGATTGACATTACATTTGAATAGTTGGCGATTATAGCTCTCAGGGAAACAGTAATTGGGAAGGGTGTTCCACAGGCGAGAGGTGCGAGGTATGAAGCTATTGGAGTAGAAGAGACGGCTACATTTAAAAGTTTCTACAGTGTAAGCGTGGGAACGGGATGCCAGCCTCGTAGGGCGCTTGAATTCATGGAGTCTGGGAACCAGTGAAAGCAGCTCATCGGAGCAATTACCATGAAAGTATTTGTAGAAAAGACAGAGAGAGGCGACCACAACCGTGACCATCACTTTAGTCTGATGAAGTCTTAAAGGACGAAATGCGCCCCACGAAATATTTTCCTACTTTGTTATTAATTTTCTTAACATTGTTTTGTTATAATAAGATTTCTGTCTCATTTGATTCCCATATTGATGCCTATAGACGTATGCGGCGAGTGGCACATGTTGTACGTGTCGAGCAGATCGTTGAAAGGTCTTTCTAATTAAGGAGAAGGTCGACGGTCCATAAGAGACACTTAAGAGTCGGCTGATTATAGGCGTCAACACCTGACCCAGCCTCTTAGCTTCGATCAAGGAGAAAAAGAAACGAAATAATTACCTTTGGAATCATCATGTATTCTTCTTGTTTCGCCTCCTCTTACTGGCTCTCTTTGTTTCACTCTCCCAATTCATTTCTTTAAACTCTCACTCACTCTTTCACTCTCTCTCTCTCACTCCCTCTCTCTCTCTCTGTTTCTCTCTCTCTCTCATTCCGTCTCTCTATCTCTTTACTTCATGCATTGATTGCCCTTTTTATTTCTTTGCCAAATGTTTGTTTCTATTTTTCATCTTTTCTTTCTTTCTTTCTTTCTTTCTTTCTATTTCTTTCTTTCTTTCTTTCTTTCTTTCAGTCTTTCTTTATTCATTCTTTCTTACTTTCACTTACACATTTCATTTTATTTCTCTACTTAAATATTCTTTTTCTTTCTTCCTTTTCTATTTTCTTTCTTTCATTCATTCATTCATTCATTCATTCTTTCTTTCTTTCTATCTTTCCCTTTTTATTTCTTTCTTTCATTCTTTATTTCTTTCATTTACACTGTTCAATTTTATTTCTGTACATAAATATTCTTTCTTTTCCTTTTTATCTTTCATCCATTCTTTCTTTCCTTCCTTTTTCCTTTCATTCTTTCTTTCTTTCACTTACACATTTCATTATTATTTCTGTACTTTTCTTTCTTCCTTTTCTTTTTCCTTTCTTTCAGCCATTCTTTCTTTCTTTCTTTTTTTCTTTCTTTCATTCTTTCTTTCTTTCCTTTTTTCTTTATTTCATTCTTTCTTTCTTTTCTTTTTTCTTTCTTTCATTCATTCTTTCTTTCTTTGCTTTTTTCTTTATTTCATTCTTTCTTTCTTTTCTTTTTTCTTTCTTTCATTCATTCTTTCTTTCTTTCCTTTTTTCTTTCTTTCATTCTTTCTTTCTTTTCTTTTTTCTTTCTTTCTTTCATTCATTCTTTCTTTCCTTTTTTCTTTCTTTCATTCTTTCTTTCTTTTCTTTTTTCTTTCTTTCATTCATTCTTTCTTTCTTTCCTTTTTTGTTTCTTTCTTTCATTCTTTCTTTTCTTTTTTCTTTCTTTCATTCATTCATTCTTTCTTTCCTTTTTTTCTTTCTTTCATGCCTTTCTTTCTTTCACTTATACATTTCCGTCTTATTTCTCTACTTAAATATTCCTTTTCTTTCCTCCTTTTCTTTTTTCTTTCTTTCTTTCATTATTTCTTTATTTTTTTTTTTCTTTCTTTCATTCATTGTTTTTTCCTTTCTTTCTTTCATTCTTTCTTTCATTCACTTACACATGTCATTATTATTTCTCTACTTAAATATTCCTTTTCTTTCTTCCTTTTCTTTTTTCTTTCTTTCTTTTATTTCTCCTGTCTTTTCTTTTTTCTTTCTTTCATTCATTCTTTCTTTCCTTCACTCTTTCTTTCCTTTTTTCTTTCTTTCTTTCATGCTTTCTTTCTTTCACTTATAAATTTCCGTTTTATTTCTCTATTTAAATATTATTTCTATTTCTTTCTGAATTTCTTTCTATCTTTGTTTTCCTTTCTTTCTTTCTTTCTTTCTTTCTTTCTTTCTTTCTTTCTTTCTTTCTTTCTTTCACTTACACATTTCATTATTATTTCTCTCCTTTTCTTTCTTCCTTTTCTTTTTCCTTTCTTTCATTCATTCTTTCTTTCTTTCCTTTTTTCTTTCTTTCTTTCATTCTTTCTTTTCTTTTTTCTTTCTTTCTTTCATTCATTCTTTCTTTCCTTTTTTCTTTCTTTCTTTCATTCATTCTTTCTTTCCTTTTTTCTTTCTTTCTTTCATTCATTCTTTCTTTCTTTTTTTTCTTTCTTTCATGCCTTTCTTTCTTTCACTTATACATTTCCGTTTTATTTCTCTACTTAAATATTCCTTTTCTTTCTTCCTTTTCTTTTTTCTTTCTTTCTTTCTTTCTTTCTTTCATTCATTCTTTTTTCCTTTCTTTCTTTCATTCTTTCTTTCATTCACTTACACATGTCATTATTATTTCTCAACTTAAATATTCTTTTTTCTTTCTTACTTTTCTTTTTTCTTTCTTTCTTTCTTTCTTTTCTTTTTTCTTCCTTTCTTTCATTCTTTCTTTCTTTTCTTTTTTCTTTCTTTCATTCAATCTTTCTTTCCTTTTTTCTTTATTTCTTTCATTCTTTCTTTCACTTACACATTTCATTATTATTTCTCTACTTAAATATTCCTTTTCTTTCTTCCTTTTCTTTTTCCTTTCTTTCTTTCTTTCTTTTTTTCTTTCTTTCATTCATTCTTTCTTTCCTTTTTTCTTTCTTTCTTTCTTGCTTTCTTTCTTTCATGCTTTCTTTCTTTCACTTATACATTTTCGTTTTATTTCTCTATTTAAATATTATTTCTATTTCTTTCTGAATTTTTTTCTATCTTTGTTTTCCTTTCTGTCTTTTTTCTTTCTTTCTTTCTTTCTTTCTTTCTTTCACTTACACATTTCATTATTATTTCTCTATAAAAATATAATTTTTCTTTCTTGCTTTCTTGCTTTATTTCCTTATTTCTTTCCTTTTTTCTTTCCTGTCATTCCTTTTTACTTTTTGTTTTTTCCTTTCTTTCTTTCATTCAATCTTTCTTTCTTTCACTTACATTTTCCATTTTTATTTCTCTACATAAATATTTTTCTTGATTTCTTTATTTCTTTTCTTTTTCCCTTTCATAAATTTTTTACTTTTTCTTTTTTTTTTCATTCTTTATCTCTTTTATTTGAATATTTCATTTTTATTTGTCTACTTAAATATTATTTTTCTTTCTTTTTTTCCATTTTCCTTCTTCTTTTCTTTCTTTCTTTCTACTTAAATTTCGATTCTTTTCATTTCTTAGTGTGTTTAACCCAATACAAGACCTAAGAACCCCTCCAGTTAGTGTGTTACTGAATAAGATTATTGTAAAGAAAGAAAGGAATGTAGATATGTGTCAGATACTATGAGGAAATGTAGCATCGATATGGGTTGACCTTAGACTTGAAGCGGTTCAGATTACAGCGTTCGATGAGGCATCCTGTCTGGGTTCTGTTCCACAAAATAGCAGTTCTGGAGTAGAAGCTATGTGAGTGGAACTGTCTTCTTACGAAAACTATTTATTTCAAATTATATTCGAATAGACTTCAAGCCACAGAGTGATGATTCTCTTGTCAAATGCGAAGGAAACCAATGGGAAGATAATGTGAGCAAAGAAAATGCTTTGAGAAATGTAAGAATTACAATGTATACCTACAATCAGAAAGAGACAAATTGAAATCTTGTGTCCCAAGTATATACTTTAGGCAAAAGCAAGGGGAAACAACAGTTAACCTGATGCCTATTTTGAGTAAATCGCTAACAGAACAGGGAAAAGGAGATATGGGAAAGTTAAGGGGAAAAATACAGGAAGATGTGGAGAGCGGTGATTGATTATGACCTTAATCGGCAGGATACATAAAACAATAATATTCTCTATAAAGAATATCGTTCAATATTTCCTGAATATTAACTGACACAACAACATTCCCGAGGGGTTTCTGGCCAATATATTACTATACAAACAATCAAGATGAAGATTTAGGTCTAAACTGATTATTGTAGAACAACACATAAACTACAATATATATATATGAAGGCCAAATATATTCTTAAAAATAACAAACTGAAAGTCACATAAACAAAGAATGTGACCAACAAAAATGCTTTAAGAAATGTAAGAATTAAAAGGTAATGTATACCTACAATCGGAAAGAGACAAATTGAAATCCTAGGACGCATTCTGAAGGTCCCAAGTGTATACTGAAAGCAAAATCAAGGGGAAACAACATTTAACCTAATACCTATTTTGTGTAAATCGCTAACAGGACAGGTACAAAGAGATATGTGAAAGAATAAAAAAGTTAGAGCGAAAAATGACAGGAAAATGTGGAGAGCGGTAATCAATTTTGACCTGAATCGAGAGGATACATAAAAGGATAATTCTTGCTATAAAGGATATCGTTCAATATTTCTTGAATGTTAGCTGACAAACAACATTCCCGGGGCTTCTATGGCCAAAATATTACAATACAAACAATCAAGATGAAGATTTACGTCTAAAATGATTATTGTAGAACAACATATAATTTACAATATATATGAAGAGCAAATATTTTCTTAAAAAATAAGAATAGATTTCAAGCCACATAATGAATGTGACCAATGAAAATGCTTTCAGAAATATAAGAATTACAAGGTAATGTATACCTACAATCAGAAAGAGACAAATGGAAATCCTGGGATGCATACTAAATATCCCAAGTGTATACTGAAGGGAAAATCAAGGGGAAACAACACTTAACCTGATGACTATTTTGTGTAAATCGCTAACAGGACAGGGACAAAGAGGTCTGGGAAAGAAGAAAAAGTTGTGAAGATCCATGATCGACTATGATCCTATACAAAAGAAAAACACTCGTCATAAAAGATTTCGTTCAATATTTCTTAAAAACTCACATAACTAACTAAGAGAGAACGCTCTAGCGCTCACTGGCTTAAATATTGCGATAAAAACAAACAAAAACAGTAAATAATTAACGGATGATTGTAGAACTGTGTTAGATTTGGATTAAGGCTTCAAGTTTTTGGAAAAGTCCTACGGAAAATACCCCGGTAGATTAAAGCTCTGGTTCGTGAATTTGGTGTGGGCCGTGTCGAATAATATTGAGCAGTATTAAATAGGATAAATATTATATATTTAATAATAATAATAAACATGATAATAACGAATTAACTCATTACTGTGTAAATAAATAATTTCATGCCTTTTAATACATTTCCACCTGTAAATACTCTGTTTTTTTAATTAAACAATACTAATTACATTAATTGGCAATAAGATTGATAATATTTATTATATATTAGCCTTTTGACTAAATTGAAGCACGGAGAGAAAGATTTTAAAGTTGGAATTTTCGGACATACAATTGTCCATTTTTTTCCCTTTATTTCTTTCCTTTCTTTATTTATTTCCTTTTTTCCTTCCTTTCTTTCTTTCCTTTATTTATTTCCTTTTTTCCTTCCTTTCTTTATTTCTTTGCTTTTTTCCTTCCTTTCTTTCCTTTCTTTATTTCCTTTTTCCTTCCTTTCTTTATTTATTTCCTTTTTCCTTCATTTCTTTCTTTCCTTTCTTTCTTTCCTTTCTTTCTTTCCTTTTTCCTTCCTTTCTTTATTTCTTTGCTTTTCCTTCCTTTCTTTCTTTCCTTTCTTTATTTCCTTTTTCCTTCCTTTCTTTATTTATTTCCTTTTTTCCTTCCTTTCTTTCTTTACTTTTTTCTTTCTTCTTTTTTTCTTTCTTTCCCTTACACGTTTCATTTTTATATGTCTGATTAAATATTATTCATTCATTCATTCATTCTTTCTTTCTTTCTTTCTTTCTTTCTTTTCTTTTTTTTCGTTCTTTCTTTTCTACCTTCTATTTAAATTTTGATTCCTTTCATTACTTGGTACGGTTAATCCAATACAAGCCTTAAGAGCCCCTCAAGTTAGAGGATGACTGAATGAGATTATTGTAAACATAGAAAAAAATGAAGATATGTCGCATGCTATGACGAAATGTAGCATCTCTTTAAGGATGTTCAAATTGCTGTTTATAAAATCACATCTTTTTTTTCCCGATAGATCCTTTTTTCTCACGAAACGTATCTTAACGTGAACAACGATAACATATAGTAAAATGGATTAAGTCCGGCAATTTTTTTTAATATATTTTCTGTTTATACGTTATTTTTATAGATACAACTAGCAGCATGGCCCAGCGTTGCCTGTTCTTGATTCAAAAATCGTACGACTCATACAGCAATCGCTATCACTTGACTTAAAATATTTTTGCCCTTCCTTGCTTTTAAAGGAGTGCTCTTTGTCGTGCTGATGTTGCTACATACCTTACTCCTTGCCTATCTCACACTGCGAATTTTTTCTAAGCTCTATACTAAACATTAAATCTGTGACGAAAAAAGAACTAAACAAAATGAACACAAAACGATCAGCTTTAAAAAAGGACTCGTAACTGGAAAAACAGAATAAAAAAAGAATGTTAACAACAAATACTTTTTCACACCAAACCCAGTTCTGCGGAATCAGAATCAATGTTGAATTTAAGCAAGCGAATGAGCCAATTGGAGTAAAGTGCCATGCAGATTTAAATTTTTCCCACTTGTGACGAATGCAGCTATCGATGTTTTTTTGCACATTAGCATGCTAGTTAAAATTCGTGTCAGTCAGCTGTTGGCTCTCACGCTGGCCAATAGAACCTTCCTGCCTATTCGTGGCAGCCAGCTATAGGCTCTCACTCTGGCCAGTACAAAATGGCCGCAAACTACATGAAAACTGCCGTAGAAACATGAAAAAATCGATTATTTCCACTATCGATAGGAGTTGGGAAATGCAAAGTTGGTCTTGGCCTTCCCGCTAACTTGGAGCATGTGCATGTAAATTTTGGTGCAAATCCGTCGAAAATTGCGGCCGTGCATTCGTTACACACACACACACACACACACACACACACACACACATACACACACACATCCTGCCTTTTATAGATAGAGATTAATTTAAGTAAATACTCTGTTTTTTAATTAAACAATACTAATTACATTAATTGGCAATAAGATTGATAATATTTATTATATATTAGCCTTTTGACTAAATTGAAGCACGGAGAGAAAGATTTTAAAATTGGAATTTTCGGACATACAATTGTCCATTTTTTTCCCTTTATTTCTTTTCTTTTTTCCTTCCTTCCTTTCTTTCCTTTCTTTATTTCCTTTTTCCTTCCTTTCTTTATTTATTTCCTTTTTTCTTTCCTTTCTTTCTTTACTTTTTTCTTTCTTTCTTTTTTCTTTCTTTCTTTCACTTACACGTTTCATTTTTATTTGTCTAATTAAATATTATTATTTCTTTCTTTCTTTCTTTCTTTCTTTCTTCTCTTTTTTTTCGTTCTTTCCTTTCTACCTTCTAGTTAAATTTTGATTCCTTTCATTCCTTGGTATATATAATATATAATACGAGGCTTAAGAGCCCCTCAAGTCAGAGGATGACTGAATGAGATTATTGTAAACATAGAAAGAAATGGAGATATGTCGCATGCTATAAGGAAATGTAGCCTAGATATCGGTTGGCCCTAGACGAGAAATAAACAAGTTGGACTCACTTTTCCGAGGAATGTTTTTGTTGATTAGATTTAAAATTAAAGGTTTAAACAGGGATTTGGTTTTACTCAGAGAATACAGTTTCCACAGGCAGCTCACTAACCAAAAATAACAGTATTCTTCGGAAGAGTGAATGGCATAATAATATATACACATTTATATATATCAAGAACAGTTTTGGAGGAAAGACGTATGACAAAGTAGAAAGTGGAATTTTCGTGTGGAACTTTTCCTCCTTTAGAACTTCATCGGATTGGGTTTGTTTACGTTGATGCGACTACGCATGCGCACAGACGAGAGACGCTGGGAATTTTAAATTTAGATATTTTTCAATGTATTTTGTGTATATACTGTAGTCAATTTCGCTTAGATTATTTTTTTCTTTCATTTTTTTTTCTTTCCATTATCTTTAGTGCTAAATATTTGACATTGTAATAATAGAAGATCTGCCAAGAATGGTGAAACATTGTCAGAACCTGGAGGCAAATTTACTGTGTATGAACTAGTGATTAAAGCACTTTCTAAACACACACACACACACACACACACACACACATACAGACAAACGCGCTCGCACGCATACACACATATACACAAACACACATATATGCAAAGCACATACTAATGTATATGTATCATGTTTTAGATGTATAACTTTCTCTTAATCAACAGATACACACCCATATACATACATACATATATATATATATATATATATATATATATATATATATATATATAACACATACTAATGTTTATATGTATCATGTTTTAGATGTATACCTTTCTCTTAATCAACAGATAGACACTCATATATATATATATATATATATATATATATATATATATATATATATATATATATATATATATATATATGTATGCATGTATGTTTATATGTATCATGTTTTAGATGGATAACTTACCCTAGGGCAGTAAGAATTGTAGACGTATATTTTACTCAGCAGATACACACCTTCACACACACACACACACACACACACACACACACACACATATATATATATATATATATATAATTATCATATACAACGCTGATGACCGCATGTATTGTTAAGCGCTGTTCTTAAGCGACTATCTTGAAGCATACTTGAAAATAATGAGGTTGATTCAAGAGTTAATTACGCCAACTGCAATCATCCAACGAAATGTCAACATTGTTATTGATGATCACAATAATTAAGATGGAAAATATTGAAAGCTTCGAGGAAAATAGCATAAATATAGAGTTCAGTGGCCTTACTTTAACAACTTCATTTGTTCATCAAAAAATATTAGGATGGCGGATAAATTCATTTTTTTTTTTTTCAATCGGTATCAACCCATGCAAGGTAGTAAAGCCACTAAGACCCAAAGGCTTCCAAGATGTGGCATAATTAGGAACCGGAACATTAATAATGAACGGGAAGAGAAAACAGTAAACAGGAGGACAGGTGATAGCAATTGACATTGCATTTAAATATTTGAATATTAAAGTTGACTGGAAAGCATAGAGCTGAAAGGGGGTTTCAAACGCAAGGCATTAAAGCCACTAAGACACAAGGAGTTACAGGGTTTGGAAGAATTAGGAATAGAAATAAACATTATGGGTGGAGAGAGGAAAGAGTAATTATGAGGACAGTAGATAGCAATTGACATTGCATTAAATATTTGTAAATTAAAGGTGACTGAAAAGCATGGGGATGGAAAGGAGTTTCCACAGGTGAGAAGTACGAGAAAAGAAAGTTTTAGCATAGAACTCACGGCTACATCTAGCTAGCTCAACTGTAAATTGATGATATCTCGACGCCATTCTAGCACTGCGATTAAATTAAAAAAAAAAGCCTACATACCATAGCGAACAATTACTTGCAAAGGAGAATTGGTGGGATTAGGTTATCACAAGTTCTAGAGAATGAAGATGATACCATCCTCTGGAATTCTAACGTTCAGACTGATAAAGAAATCCAGGTGAATTGATCAAACGTTTGTGAAAAATCATGTTGAAAATACATGTCTTATGATAGATGTTGCAGCCCCAGCTGAGAAAAATACGTCTTTGAAAATATTTTGGAGATTAAATAGATACAAGAATTATGAGATCGAAATCAGTAGAATGTGGCAAAACAAAAACGAAATTACCTGTTAAAAATGGGACTTTGGGAAAAAGGGGCCAACAAATATACGAATCAAATTCCTTGTAGCACTAAAATATATGGATTTCGAAATATCATAGTCATGTGTAAGTCTTACATCTTGAATAGAATTCTCTCTGTGTATTGACCAATTTTTTTTCTCTCTAATTGCATAGCACCTCATCTGATTGTATCTTGTGATACAACTTTTGTCTTGAAGTCTTTGACTGAGAACAAGAGAGAACTGTACTAACCAAAGCGAAAGCTAAACAGAAACAAAAACAAAAATACTGACTAGAAATGCTCAACTAAATGACAGTATAATCTCCTTGCGATTTCTACACCCATAAAATACCTATAGAAATTACCCGACTGCGAAGTTAAATATTTCAAGTTAACATATTTAACACAGTATTGTAATAACAATAATAAATATGAATGCTGGTCATTATCAATGAAGTCGTCCTGGGTATGACGATAAACTACATCCAGCAGCAATGCTTCCGATCGGAAGGTTTTGAAGAATGTGGAACTATTTCTTAATTGCTGTTGTTCCCAGGTCAACCCTAAACTGGGGTGGTAACACCTGTTAGGGTCCCAGATATGGGCAAATATTTAACCTCGAAACTGGGATCAAAACGCTATGTAAGTATAAAAATACATATTTATAGTAAAAATAGCAGCAATATATTTTCATAGTAAAAAAATACCAGTAATATATTTTGATAAACAATTTTAAAAAATAAAATTAAAATATTACTAGCAATATATATATATTTTAAAAATTACCAGCAATATATTGAAAAAATATTACCAGCAATACATATTCGGAAAAAATATATGCCAGAAATATATTTTTGGAGAAATAATATATTACAAGCAATAAATTATTGGGAGAAAAAAAAATTAAATGATGAATATGGCGACAAAGATGAGGACAATAGTCCGAATAATGTAAATAATGTACATAATACCTCATCTCAAAAATATAGACAGACTTAGAAAAAATTGTTAATATTCTCAAGAAAATTAAATTTCGGCATTAAATGACCCATAAGGAGTTGATATGCCACTAAACAATCAAACAAGGAAGAGGGAACTGATGAAAAGATTAAAAATGGCAGGCTTTTATTTCATTGAAGCAGACGTTAAACCCAGGAGTGTATTATCACCTTCTCCATCTTTTCTTCTTTCTTTCTTTTTCTCACTAAAACCAAACGACGTCTCTTATATGTCTTTTTCGTCTTTCCTCGCAATCAAAAGCAATAATAATCTACTGAGGAAAGTATTATCAATCGAAAGAGAATATACATGTTTTTCATGTTAAGTGTCACTTAAATTTAGAATTTGAGCAAATAGAAAGCAAATCGTTACTATCTTGTCTTGGATCAGATCAAATATGGCGGTAACGGATATTTATAGAGCAAAATAGTTAACCTACGAATAATAATAATAATAATAATAATAATAATAATAAAAATTAATAGAAGGAGGAGGAGGAGGAGGAGCAAGAAGAAGAAGAAGAAGAAGAAGAAGAAGAAGAAGAAGAATGATGCATAATTAAAAAGAATAACAAAAAATAAACCATACGTTTTGCAAAATAATTATGAAATACTTAAAGAGCTAGAAAAACAAATGCAAATCAACCGTGCTTATAAAACTTATGAAAAGGACGTCAAACTTTACAAGAAAAATATTGAAAAGACAGCTTTAAGAAAAAAGAGAGGAAATTCTATTATATTGACTGCCATGTTTCAGTTCTGGTTGATTGTACGTTTTTCTGACTTGAATAATTCGGTATGACGTCCTGATATACGTGTCCTTTACCCTGGCGTAGATGGAGAAAAAAAAGGTCGAAAAGAAAACCTGTACATGTTCAAATCTTGAGGAAAGGAAAAAAAAAGAAAAAATATATTTGTTTGGCTTGAGTTTATTATTTTTATTTTTACATTTTTTTTCTGTTGATTTCCTGATATTTGCCTCTCGTCACTTTTCTATATTCTTCTCATTTGTCTATAATCTCTTCACAAAACTCAATCTATCTATCTATCTATGTATCTATCTATCTATATATCTATCGATCTATATCTCTCTCTATGTATATAACATTTCCTTTTTATATATATATATATATACATATATATATATATATATATATATATATATATGTGTGTGTGTGTGTGTCAGCCTTTTCAAAACTATCTCTCAATCACTTCATTATCTACCAATCTGTTCATTTCATTATCTATCTATCTATCTATCTATCTATCTATCTATCTATCTATCTATCTCTGTTCATTATCCATGCATGTATGTATGTTCGTATCGTATATATATATATATATATATATATATATATATATATATATATATATATGCGTGTGTGTGGGGTGTGTGAGTGTGGGTGTCAGCCTTTTCAAATCTATCTCAATCAGTTCATTATCTACCTGTTCATTATCTGTCTATCTATCCATCTATCTATTTATCTATGTTCATTATCCATGTATGTATGTATGTATGTATGTATCTATCTATCTATCTATCTATCTATCTATCTATCTATATATATATACATACATATATATATATATATGTATGCATGTATGTATTTCTGTAAGGTAGTATCTATATATTATCAAACATCTGTCATAATTCATGTTTATATCATTTTTATATACTCCCATGATCAATATTATAATCATCAAAGTACCTTAATTCGGAGATATTTGAAAATGCTCTCTCACATGGCTGCAGTCAAAATCCTTTAAAAAGCACTGATTTTTTCAAATGATGCTAATTAAAAGTGGTCACTTCAAATGCTACTTTAAGCAAAAAACAAACACTGAACATTTTGAACGCAATATAATTGGAGCCTTAGATAACATTTTAAAAAATAGACTGAACGTCATTTAGTAAACGACTCCCATCAGTATTAGGGAATATTATAAGTCTTTATTCTTTAGATTTGCTTCGGTAAACTGAGTTTTTACGGCAAGTATTAGTCAAAATGTTTTCAAGAGCGAGATATCGTTCTGGAGACGAAAGGCATCTCGGTATTTTTTTTTCAGCAGTAGGACTCTAAATAATGATAAAACTCTTCATAGTTTTTACTTAATAAAAATAAATCTTTCTTTTTTTTTATGTTATCAATAATGAGATGTATTTTTTATTGGCCTTTCAGAAAGAAAAAATCGCATCGTCCTTTTTCCAATAGATTCCTTCAAGAAGGCAATGGTCGTCATCCAGGCGATTGATTATTGCGTTCTACTTTTTCACATTGAAAAGAAATGTGGAATTTGGTTAGTTTCCAAAGCGGACGGGAGACAAAAATTTACTAAAACCTTTTCAGCAGAAGTTATACTAAAGAAAAATACTTTCATTGAGAAAATCGAATGAAGAAAGTGCATAGCTATAAAGTTAAAATATTTTCACGCTCTTGCGAAATTGCGCTAGATTATATATATATATATATATATATATATATATATATATATATATATATATATATAAAAGTGGTCTGTTTTTATTTATATATATATATATATATATATATATATATATATATATATATATATAAATAAAAACAGACCACTTTAAATTCCATGTAATAAATTATTTCTCCACAGCCCTTTTAAAAAGGACTGCGGATCATCAACCTTTACTTCCAAACAAAAAAAATGAAAAAAAAAAATTACACATATTTGACGGGCCGTATTAAACATATGCAAATTAACGAAGTGAGGAAGAGGGGAGAAGACATGTGCAAACTTTCTTTTCATTTTTTGTTTGGAAGTAAAGTCTGATGGTCCGCAGTCCTTTTAAAAGGGCTGTGGAGAAATAATTTATTACATGGAACCTTAAAGTGGTTTGTTTTTTATTTAAATTATTTGCTCTGGATTTACATTGAGCTCTCTGGATTTTATCCTCCTTAGGTTTACCTATACGGATTACCTAGTTTTTCATAAACTATCTATCTATCTATCTATCTATCTATATATCTATATATATATATATATATATATATATATATATATAACACTAATAAATTTATAAGATGTAATCAGCTATACTCGTCTGGCAAAACCTTAGGTGTTTTAGCTTGTGAATGAACAAACTAATACCCAAGGGGGAAAAAGGGTGGGGAGAAAGAACTAAGAACATGTATTTTCGGCGATCATGATCAACAATGATCATTTCATGAAAAAGTTACCGAACATTGCCTGATGAAGAGATGAAAAATTTTAAGTCTCGAAACAAAAATTTTCGTGTCGCAATGTAAAATATTTTTTATAAAAATATCATTACAGTATTATGCTTAAGTTTTTTATTAGGCACTTAAAAAAAAAAAATTAAATGCCTGGGAACTATGGATTCTAAATCTGTTTGCTCGTTTTCTTCATTTTTGTATTATATATATATATATATATATATATATATATATATATATATATATATATATATGTCTGACCCGGAGTGGCAGCACCTGTTAGGGTCCCAGCTATGAGCAAATAGTTAACACGCAAACTGGTTTTTAATACCATCAATAAATTTTTTGAATGGAAAATATCACCAGAAATACATTTTTGGAAAAAAAATATTACCGGCAATAAAAACTTCTCGGGATTAAATAACCCATTGAGGTTGGTATACAAAGCAAACGAAACCAAATCAAAGGAAGCGAAACCAAACCAAACCGGGTGTGAAATTAGAAAATGATTGACATTACCATGGGATTTGGATCAATTATAAGGAATATAGTACAGGAGATAAGGAACTGCACTAGGATAGTTTCACACAACACCACATGTTTCTACAAAACCAAAACATTAATCTAAAATCTCGACTCATGTTCTTAAAAATAATGTCAGATTGACACTTTCGTTTGGATTCCATTCATGGCACCAAATTTATACAAAAATGCTTAAATTGTCAACTTTATCAGATCAATTGTTAAAAGTAAAATAAAACCTTTAGGCAGTAACGGGGACCATATTTCTTCGATTCTTGTGTCGTGGCGCTACAGAATAGAAAAGAAGGAACTGTAGCAAATTATAAAAATCAGCCACTTCAGGAATCTCAACAGCAGCAACTAAAATGGATATCACTCGAAGAGCAAATAATGACATAGTCAATATATCAACCTTCCACACAACTACAATCAAAAGGTTAGGAAGGAAACCATCAACCTTCCACACAACTACAATCAAAAGGTTAGGAAGGAAACCTCTACCATCAATAATGGAAAGAGCGATAAGAGTTAGAGGAATTAAGGAACCTAATTTTCCTAAAATGGATATCCACACGTAATTCGCAGAACAAATAAAGACATAATCAAGATATTAACGTTTGACACTACAACAATCAAAAGGTTAGGAAGGAAAGCTCGACCCACTGGAAAGAATGTTATGATTTAACGGAATTGAGAAACCTATCTTCCTAAAAAAAAAAGGTATTTTAATAGAAATATTTTGTAAATTTCAGCCGAGAGTTGCTCTGGCTGACCCCGGTCAATAAATACTGAATGTTTCCTTGGCTAATATTACCATTACCAGTATTATTTAATAATCGTCAGTTTAATATCAGACATTTTCGTACAAATAAATCTGAACGTCTCGAAAATGACGTAGAATCTATTGTTAAATGGGGCAAGGAGTGGCGTGTTAAATTTAACGCTTCCAAACTGAAGCCATCTCTCTTTAATCGCCCCAGATAACTATTTTTACCTCTCATCAATATGGTAGATGTTACCAACAAAGCGAGTGACTCATTGCGTCTTTTCGGACTAACGTTTTCTGCTTTATCTGAAGTGGGAAAATTATATTGTATCAATTGATAAGTCTAGGTTTGTTCACTGTGTAGATTTTTCTCGCCAGAATCTACCTTACATATTTATGAGTCTACCATTCGTCCTCGATTTAAATATTACCCCTGCTATATATTTAGGGATTCTAGATAAAATCCAGTGAACAAGATGCATGTGTTATTGGTCCTGACCTGGCATCTCGGCTTCACTCACTTCCCAATCGCCTTAACGTAGCTGCCCCGTGCCTTTTCTATATAAATATTTTCATAGTAATTGATCTGATTAACAATTACACTGTGGTACCTAGACTTTATGAATTTTAGCGCAGTACTAGATTAGTGACAAGGTCTCATCATTTTACAGTTGAAATGGATAGATGTAACCGTAAGTTCTATGCTAACAGTTTCTTCTATTGCATATCTTCCTCCCTTTGATCTTCATAATTTTAAATGCAATATCAAACGTTATCTTCTGTCATTTTAATTCTTATCCTTTTTATTTTATTTTCTTCCGAACAGTAGTTTTTACCTCATATTCTTGTGGAATCTTCCACAACAAGCCAGTTAACCCCTGCTATGAAATGCACTATTCCTGTTGTAATTTTCACCATCACAATCTTACAAAATATATAACAAGCATTCATTAGTTAATCACCTTCAATCTAGCTTGCTTTCCGACCAATTAAATCTGTTTTCCCGCTCAATATGTTCGGAGCCTCCTACGTGATACACGACATTATTAAAAACAGAACACGTGTAAACTCCCTTGTGTTTCTTTTCATTCATTTCTCTCTCGCGTCTCATTTTGCCAAGGTGTAATCTTCAAGAACTCCCGTCTTAACTAATGCAGTCAGACGTTAAAGGCCATTAGCAACATTTACGCAAGTACGAACTCTGAAATCTCTTCTGAACTTTTACCAACTTGAACAATACACACTTCCAAACATGCTAAAGAAACTTTATTCTTCTAAACTACAGTTTAATAATTACTTTCACATTATGAACTTAGGTACAAATATTACCTAATCTAAGAGACACAACTCTGTTTAACCTTTTCACTCAGTATTCATGCATGTATATCAAATATTAATAAATTCAATTGTTACGTTTTGAAACAAGATGATTTTGAATCTTTATTCTCTATATTGTATTAATTTTTGTGGATGGAAGATTATTGAACACATACAATTTTAAACCTTCTGATAATTCAAATTTTCTATTCCTCTCCAACACACATCACACATTCGCAACATTCTCTAACATCCAGTAACCCCTTGCATCTTAGAGTCTTTGTTGCCGTGCTTGGAAGTGAAATGATAAAACAAAATGCATAAAGAAATATGCTCATATTATGCCCATATACACATACCAGCAGACATATATACGCATGCGCCTGAAGACATATAGACGCATGCGCAAATTACGCGCATATTATGTCCATATACACACGCCAGCAGACATATAGATTATGTATATGTAAAGATGCCAGCAGACATATAGACGCATGCGCTAGAAGACATATAGACGCATGCGCTAGAAGACATATAGACGCATGCGCAAACGAATATAGACCTAAAAGTATACATTCATGCAAAGATAGAAACGTAATCTGAATGCGACTACTTATATACAAACATACACAAAATTAAGTGAACCCTTACATAATGACAAATGCTAATGCACATTATTAATAAATTCAATATTATCTGCGCACGCATGAATATATATATATATATATATATATATATATATATATATATATATATATATATATATATATATAGTCTGAAT